ACGTTACACTAATTGTTCCCATTTGACTCTGTGCTGTCGAAGATGGACTCTAATTCGGAGGTTTGGCCTTACATTAAACATTACAGTGTTGCAAGGGCTGCTAAACAATGTCAGGCTATTTTAGAGGCATGCTTTTTACCCTACACTAAGTGCCTGTTGTTGTGTCGATGTGCTTTCCTTTATTCAAACAAACAAACAAACAAACAAATGAACAAGCTGTAACAGCGAACCAAAGCTCTGAACTCTGTTGAAATGGCGGACATCTCATGCGGACAATTCGTTACGCTTTGCGGACCAAATTGGTGGAACTCGGGCGCTACAAAGCGTTGTAATTATTGTAGTTGTCGGTTTGTCACACAGTGTGTGTGAGAGTGACAACGCCTTTGTGGCCTGCCGAGACGGCGACTTAATTAGCGTTGCCTTGAACGCCCGGCCTGGCCATGGCTCAGACCGGACCTTGGGGAGTGGGGCGGCGGCCGCAGCGTGACACCCGCTCTCTGTCGTCGCTCGGCTCTAAAGCGGGTCATCATCGTAGCGCTGCTGTTTAACCCCTTCACAGCCGCGTAATTGAACTTGGTACCATTACCGGTGTTCATTGGGGTGGGGGTGGGAGGGGGGATAGATAGATAGATAGATCAGATAGATAAATAGAGAGAGAGAGAGAGAGAGAGAGAGTAGAGAGAGATAGATAGACAGATAGAGGAAAAGAGATAGAGATAGATAGAGAGAGGAGGGGGGGAGGAGAAAAGAGAGAGAGAAAGTGAGAGAGAGAGAGAGGGAGAGAGAGGGGGAGAGAGAGAGACAGAGAGAGAGAGAGAGAGAGAGAGACAGAGAGAGGAGTCTATTGCCTTTAGAATATTAATATCACGGTTTAGTAAATTATTATGGTTCCCTATAAAAATAATGTTACTGTGGTAGTATTTCTCTATTTGATCTGGGTAAAAAATGTGAGTCTTAAATTCAGACCCGACACCGTCTCAGGGAAGGCAGTGAAGATGTTAACCCCTTCGCTTCTTGTTTCGTGGTCGAGGTTGTAATATTAGTATACACACACGGCTGTAAACTGGAGAGACTGACTACCGTGACAGAGGTATTCTCGAGTTCGTCGGATGTCCATCGTAAACGTGTCGTGTTCCAGTTGCTCTACACGTATGGTTGGGAGGGAGAGAGAGAGAGAGAGAGAGAGAGAGAGAGAGAGAGAGAGAGAGAGAGAGGGATAGGGTATGGTTGGGGGGGGGGGGGGGAGGCGGGCTGTCACTGGTAGGTCCTACTCCTGTACTCTTCTCTTCTGGTGGTGGTTTTGTTCATCAGTTTGCTAAATGGACATTATTGTAGCGTTGTGCTTCTCGCTCCTTATAGACATCACGAACTGGGTCAGTCTTTCTGACTGTCCACCCATCTTTTCCTCCCTCTGTTCCTTGCTCTAAATGTCTGTTATTGTGTCGACGTGCTCCTGTTAAAAAAGTAAAGTTGTTCCCGCATCCGATCCGGGCATTGATGATTGCCATGTTAGTGAGACAACTTCCTGGACCTTCGGCATATTGTGGTAGGGTGGCCAGTTCCTTTCCATCCTGCCTTTACTTCCCCAACTCAAAATCAGGTACCCATAACTGCTGGGTGGGCAGGAGGGGGCGAAAAAAATCCGTGTCTGAACCGAGGCTCGAGTCCGGGCTTTCCGCTTTGGAGACGAGCGCACTAACCGCTCCGCCACCGCACCCTTCAAACAAGAACCTTGAATTGACATTACGGTGTACGTTTTTCGGTATTCCAATACCCTGTCTCAGCAGATCCAGCGTTCTAATCGATTAGGGTTCCAATCGATCTGGGTCTTGTCTTAGTTTGATGTCATTCTGCCCCAACCTTCCATGTTTCTGTCCACCCCGCCTCACACTGGTCTGTGAATGGATTTTTTTCTAATTTGTGGGTGATTGAGAGTGCTCTGGTACGGTGTGATGTGTACCTTAGTTTCAATCAAAGATCCATCGTCATTATCTCTCCTTCCTCTCTTTTTGCGTTTGTTATCTCTTGTTACGCCTATGATCTTCGGCACTTATATTATGACCTAGATGTATGCAAGTGCCGTAATACTTTAACTAAAACCAAAACAGCAGCAGCAGCAGCAGCAGCAGCAGCAGTAACAACATCAATGAATTTTTTTTTAAAGACGGGAGTAATGTTTGTACGATTTGTCGGTGATATTTCTCTGAATCGATTCTTTCTAATTCGTTAGATGTCGTGATGTTTCTGCGCGCGGTCTGTGGTATTTCTGGAGAGTAAATAGCAGTGCACTGTTGCCCTGTCCTCTGTTTGCTACCCCCGATTCGTCTGGTCTGCGCTGAACCTTTCATTTCCTGTTTTCCCTCTGTGCCTGCCTGCTTGTCGTTCTTCGGTCTCACCACATGGTTCGAGTCGTCACGGTTTTCATTGTCCCATTCCACTGACTGTAGTTAGGATTTTTGATAGCTTTCTCATAGTTACCATTGTGGGTGGTCGGCAGACCTTGTTGGGTTTTGTTCCTTCTTTTCTGTTAAACATTATTTTATCTTCATATCTCTTTTCCTTCTTTTGTTTGTATGTTACTTTCTAGTAGCACTTCTAATCCTCGGCACTTATATAACCTATGTGTTGCAATTGAGAGTCCTAAATCCATGACTAAATCTAAAATGCGAAAAATGTAGTGATGCACACTGTATGAATATGACAGAACAACAGCTTGAAATTCTTCTTTTTTCTGACAATTGACTCACTACAGAACGGATGTTTTTCCCCCTGTATGTTGAACAGCTGTTGATGATATATGGTTCACTGATAAGTGCGGCTTGATTCGCGCTTCCAATCAATCAAATCCGTTCAAAGTGCCTATCCTAGGGGCACATCGTCGTTCTGAGCTGAGCCTCGAACCACCGAATCCGCAACCTAACGATTGCGAGTCCGATAGCCTAACCACTAGACCACCGAGGCCGCCCGGCACGCCCACACACAGGTGTTTAGTTTTGATAACAGTTTTACGGCACTTGCAAAGACAAACTGGTTGTAGAAATGCGGAAGATTAGAGGTGTCACTAGAGAGTAACATATATTTTGTTTGTTTGTTTTGATAATAAGGAGGGAAGATAAATAAGGACGATAGGTGTTTAACAGGAAAGAAGGAGCAAACCGTACTAGCTGAGCACCCGCCAACCACCCACCCACAGGTGTAAAGAACAATGTGTGGGGGAAAAGCACATGGGTATAATGCTGTCTGTAGGCCGTGACGCACAGCTTGTTGTAGGGGAAATGCATAGAGGTGTGTGGCCAGCTGGTGAGGGGAGGGGAAGAAAAAAAAGAAAAACCCAAACAGGTGTTATCGATCTTGCCGACCGAGCAAATGAGATAAATGGGCAACTGTAGGGACTCCGCCCTTAAACTGGCTTTGCTGATATGATCATTTATCTTTTCTTCTCCATGGTCAGGTACTCTCGTCCCCTACCCTTCCATCTCTCTTCTCTCTCTCTCTCTCTC